AAGTGGATTTTATATATCTATAAAGAGAAATTGGAGATATATACACACAGAAAGAGAGTTCTGTGTGTATATATCTCCAATTTCTCTTTATAGATATATAAAATCCACTTGACTGAAAACTGCACGAATAATCGCACAGGGACTCCCCCCCCCATTTGCTCCCATTTATATGTTTGTGTGATTGATTGATATACCGACCTATTAGTGTCAGCACCGTGTGAGGTTTACAGGTTAAGACATAAAACCCTACATAAGAAAACACATAGCAAAGCTGTTCTCTTTTGTACACGTGCAGTCCTTGCAATAACTCCGCGAGGCAGATTGGCCTCCTGTTAGTTCCAAGGGTTGGGCAGATGTAAGAAGTAGAAATATATTTCCTAGTTCATGCATGACCAGTTGTGAGCCTGATTTGGCAAGTGCAGCGAGAGCCTGCCAGAAGGGAATTAAAACCTGCTCAATCACAGTTTCCAAAGGTGAGTGGAGGGGGGGAGGAGGAGGACATAAAAGCCTGCTGGTTTGGACCATCTAGCCCAGAGAATTTGAGCTGGTGGCCCACTAGATTTGTGTGTGGTCTCCGTTCTCAACAGGTGTGACCCATGGACATTGGAGTTTACATACTTTTGGAAAGCCACAGGTTCCCCATCTCTGATTCTAGCCAAAAATGCAGGGAAAGGGCCTTTTAATGAATTGTTTATTTAAAATACGTTTACACCCGCCTTTCTCCTTAAAAAGCACCTGAGATGGCTTACATCATTGAAAAACAATGTTTAAAGCTAAAAATGATTGGTCTAAAGCAGTGGCTTACATCGTTAAAAGACAATATGAAAGCTGAAACCACCTGAATGAACCTCTCTTCTTCAGAGTGGTAGTCTTTAAGGGGTTGAATAATTGTGGCAATGAAGAAACCACAAAAGAAACATTTACTACTGTATTACATAAACAATTGATGTTATTTTAGTTGCATTTGGTTCTTTAAAACGTCCTTGTAGGATTTCATTCTGAACACAATTCCAAATGTACACTATAGTCCCTAAACCCCTTTACAGCATTGGGGGTTGAATAATTTTGAACACAACTGTAGAAATATTAAAAAGGAACAAATAAATGCCACTCGGAGAGATGGTAAATGCAAGTAGTCCTAAAGAGCCAGTCAGAGCAGTAATGCATAACAGCCCATCTGAAAGTCAAATATACTTGCTGATTGGTGCCCTTCCTTTACTTAATGTGTTTCAAAATGGCTTTTAAAATTCAGCACTGTTTCTCGGTTCTGATTTGTTTTAATAGTGTTTTAACACTGTATGTTTTCATCTGCTTTTGTCTGTGCCTCTTCTTCAAATATCATGAGCCGTCTTGAGTGTCCCAGTTTTGGGTGAAAGGTGCATAATCTTTATGTGTTGTTATGTGGCGTCAGGGAACCTTTACCTTTACCTTTTTATGTGGCGCCAAGTCACCTCTGACCCATGGTGAACCAATAAATGAGCGTTCTCCAAAATGCCTTCTCCATAAGAGAAGAGCGGGGCTGTTGAGGACAAGGCATTTTGGAGAACACCCATTTATAGGTTCACCATGGGTCAGAGGTGACTGAAGTTTTGGGTTCCTTGAGGGAGTCAGTCCATCTGGTATTTGGCCTTTCTCCTTTTCCTGCTGTGTTTTTGTAAAGCAGCCTCCTTTCGTTCCACAGACACAGCTTCCTCCGTCCTGGAGATCCCCGATATCCGGAGGCCGATCACGGCGAAGGAGCGCCAGCGGGAGAGGGAGGAGAAACGCAAGCGCCGCCAAGAGCGGGCCAAGGAGCGCGAAAAGCAGAAGAAGGAGAAAGAAAAGGAACGCAAGGACATGTTGACGGAGAACGACCGGAACCTTCTGGAAAGGTGGACTAAAATGGTGGACCGGACCCAGAACAAGCCCGCCCAGAATGGGTCAACAGGCCTGCCGCAGACGACCGCGGCGGGCCAGAGCCTGCCTCAGGCTCCTCCTGCCAACCCCTTGCCACCTCGGGGGCCCCCTGCCCGGCGCATTCCGCTTACCCCTTCGGGTAACACTCCTGCCCCAGCCGACTTCCTCACTTTCTCAGACAAAGCAGTGCCTACAATGGCTCCTAAGCTCACTCTCGTCCCTGTGGGTCCAGAACTGGGTGCGGTCCAGGCTTCCAACGCCAACGTGGTCCATTTCTTCCCGGCGCAGACCGCCCCGTTCTTGGTCGCTGCTCCGGCTTGCCCGAAAACCATCCCCGCCAAGCCGGAGTGTCTCCTGAGTGTCAAATACACCCCTGGACAGATTTTCCAAGCCCCTTATGGCGTCACGGCCCTGAACACGTGGAACAGCGTCCCCCAGCCAGAGAACTGGGCGGTGGCTGGGCAGCTGCCAGCGACTCGGGCCGAGATGGCCCCGTCCAGCGGCGCATTGCTGGAAGAGGCTGCGAGTTTTGGCGCGTCAGCTAGCGTGGAGCAACCTCTGTTTCTGGCAGAGATGGGCAAGCCTGACCTGCCGTTGCCGTCCCAGGGTTTGGTTCAAGAGGACGCGAGAGCCCCCGACCAGCAGCCAACAGCCCCAGGACTGCCTTCAGAGTCTCCGGATATCAATGTGGTGACACAGCAGTTGTCAAAATCCCAGGTAACGCCCAGTTGGTCCAGGGGAGATAGGATCAATTGGGATGTACGTTTTCAATTTTTTATGGACTGCAGATCCCATAATTCCCCTCCTTGGGATCCCCACCTGCAGGATCCGGACTTTAGAGACACCCACGTTGAAGAAAAGGCCCAGCTGGCAGGCTTCATATCTTGGGTAGGACTAACTTCCTGTTTGAAAAAAGACATTTCCCAGCAACCACTGGGGCAGCTTCCTTTTCAAACAGGAAGCCAGGCCTATCCGAGGCATGAAGACTGCCAGCTGGGCCTTCGCTCCAGGTGAGCACAATTTGGGTGTCAGTCGGGTCTGAGTCTTGCAGGTGGGCCTCCTAGAAGGGAGAATTACGGCGTTTGTACTCTATAAAATAATTCAAAATACGTATTCCACATTTTAGTCCTTTCTACGGGTAGACTGAGGGAACCTCTTTAAGAAGGGTTGCTGTGTGTACCTGCTGAAGTCCGACCTGCTGACATGGGGTCAGGCCAGAGTCAAGTGTAGGAAACTGCTTGGGCCATTTTCCTCAAGAGGCATACACAACACACTCTGTGTAGGTTCAAGAGTAAGCTGCAGTACCACAGCTTCTCGTGTTGTAAGGAAAAGCTCTCTCACTGACAGGAGAAGACAGCGAAAGAAGCTCGCAGGCCAGACTGGGTGTTCTCATAGGCTGTCTCTGGGCTTCAGAGCAGTGGTTCTGCATTTTTCCTCCGAGGGGTGCAAGTGACAGGATTTCCGCCCCCCCCCACACACACAAATTTTGTAGGATGTGGTTCACATGGCCTTCTCAGTGTGACAGCCCACCAGTGGTAATGGAGAGGCCATAACGTGGTAAACAAGCACATGCCTTGGAAGTCCCAGGTTCAGTCCTGACCATCTTCAATTATTAAAAAAAAATCACCCTTTGGTAGCAGAAAATAGAACTGTTGTCAGGAACTCTGGAGAACAGTCGGATTTGCTGAATTGAAAGCTGTCACCCTGCATAGATGACAAATACTGGAACGTCTGACGGTCCTCTGAATTTGCTGTAGGGGTGGGCACGCAACCTTTGGCCTTCTACGTGTTCTGCGCTATAACTCCGCCAGCGACTGAACATTGCTTGTGCTGGTGGGGTTGATGGGAACTTTAGGTCCATACTGTTGTCTTTCTGAAAAGGGGCTGGAGTCTTCTTGAAAGTGGGGGTTTGTGTAAGCCACCCACTATTCTAATGTATTGATTGGTTTAAACCAGTGGTTCCCAACCTTGGGTCACCCAGGTGTTTTTGGACCGCAGTTCCAAGAAACCCCGGACAGCACTGCTGGTGGTGAAGGCTTCTGGGAATTGTAGTCCAAGGACACCTGGGTTACGCAACGGTGGGAACTGCTGCTTGAAATACTGGAGCCATTTCGAGCCATTCTGTTACCTTCAGCCCAGATTAGAAGACGTTCATCTTAACCAAGCCCACTAAAATGGGCTTTAGCTCGTTCCAGCAAAACTTTGGATGGGTTAAAGTGCAGCGTTGAATTGGTTTGAAATGCAACATTTTTTTCCTTTTTTATACAAGACTGGCCAGATGCCTGCCTTGTGTTTCCATGGTTCTGTTTTAACTGGCACACACGTCTTGCGGTTCAGGGTCTTCCTTCCTTCCTTGGTAGGAGGGAATAAATTCTGCAGAGCCTCCCTTGCCTAGACTTGTCGTTGATGTTTATTGGGTGGACGTTTACATGAGTGGTGAGTTTGCTATTTCTCAATTCCAGGTGGAAGATCTCCTGCCGCCTGTCTTCTCTGGCACTCCGAAAGGCAGTGGTGCTGGTTATGGAGTTGGGTTTGACCTGGAAGAATTTCTGAATCAGTCTTTTGACATGGTGGGAGAGAACAGAGAGAGGTAAGAGGCAGGTAGAGATTGTAAGATTCCGTTAAGTGCAACGGAGCGATGGGGAGCAATTGAGTAAAATATGTGCACCTGCTCACAGGGGCTCACCTTGACATGGGATTAGCATGTTAACTATCTGTTGACTGGCAGCATGTGGTTGATGACACTGTTGGGTGTGTGTTGGTGAAGAGGGAGGTGATCTCACCATTATTTTTGACTCTATTGGTTTACCTGTTCTGACATCATTGAAGGACAGTGCAGCTTTCAGCCAGTTGATCTTAGAATTTCACCTTAGCATAAAAATTCTAAGATCAATGCCTGATTTTGTTGACTAAGCCTAAAATAGATTCATGATAAATCCACACTTTTGTAAACCATTTGTTGGGCGGGCATACTGGAATTGGGATTAACAATGTATTTTTAGCTCATTGTTTCCTTTGAACTTTAAATGTGCTGCAGAACTTTGTGAGGCCTGGAATGAAGCCATACTTGTTTAAGGAGATCAAGTGGCTTTGGTTTTGGAGTAACAGCCGAGACAACACTTTATTGCTGTTTACTTAGAACAGTGGTTCCCAACCTTGGGTTTTTGGACTAAAACTCCCAGAAGCCTTCGCTGCTGTGTTGGCCAGGATGTCTGTGAGTTGTACTCCATGAACATACAGGGACCCAAGATTGGGAACCACTGACTTAGACTGATCCTACAGCAGCTAAAGCTGCAATTTCCCTCCAAGAACGAGGTCTGTGTAACTCATTGGCCAGATTCACACGTAACGGTAAGCCAGCTTGTTGTTTGTCAAATTCAGACTTGTCTTTTAACCAAATCCCAGCAAAAAAAAGCAAGGGTTGGTTAGCTAGCCGCAAACCACATTTAAGAAGCCATGTTGGTCTGCAAAATTATGAACTCTGGCTTGTTTAAGCCATGATGTGTTGGTAATTTGAACACAGAATCATGGCTTGTCCCTGGTTAGGTTCCCCAGAGTTTTGCCTTGAAATAACTGAGAAAAGTGAGAGTAAGGAAGTAGAAACTGGATTGTTTGGTAATCTGTGAGACAATTTCATGGCTGAACAGTCAAACCATGGCTTAACATAGAGCTGGCTGGGTCAATTCTACTCTACCATCATGGGTCCCCCCCTCTCTATGAAACTGGAAGTCACCAGAAGTCCACTAAGATTTTTCTGAGCAAAACAAAGTATGCCTCCCTTATTTAAAAGGAGTGCTCTTTTTAAAGTACAAAAATGTTTTTTTGAGGGGTGAGGGGGAGATATCAAAGAGAGTCTGGTGGCTGCAACTTGGTTAAGGTGAGAGGAACCAGGTGTGTCCTGAAATAAGGTAGGGGAATTATTTAATAGGGAACAGAAGGATGGGAGGAAAATAGAAGCAGCTCACATAGATAGACTGTCGAGTCAGCTGTTTTGTCTCATCACCCTCTTTTTATCTCACGCCTCTTTCTGCTTCCTTTTCGTCGGATCAGTCAAGGCGATTCCGCCCCGCTGTCGGCCTCCCTTCTGGCTGACTGGCTAGAGGTCCATCGCATGAACCCGGCCGACATGGAGTCCCTCCAGCAGGAGCTGCAGCTCGGCTCTCCCATGATCCTCTCTGATATTCCGGACCTGCAGGATGCCTGAACAGCTGGGATCCCGTCTGCCGTTTTCTTCCACTCTTGACGAATTTTTAGCTGGATGTGGGAAAAGAAAAAAAAAAGCAAGCAAGCAAGCAAGAAAAGAAGGGGCGAGCCCATTTGTGGTGGCCTTGTTTGCCTTTCTAACTCCTCCGGCTGGGAACGTCACCGTAGTGCCTGTGACTTTTCTTTCCAAGCAGAAACTGAATTGGGCTGGTGTTCGAACAAAGCGCTTTAACCAGAAAGGTCTGAGGCAGTTTTGGTACACCCACGTCATCTGGCGTGTGGGTACATGATAGGAAGAAGGAGTGCAAGCTCTTCCTGCAGGGACTTCAATCACAGCACAGCGCTGTGTTGCATGTGTTGTGTGCTGTCGATTGCCTTGGAAACAGGTGCCAAGTAAACTCCTTCCTGACCCCTCACTGTGTCTTCCTCACCTCACAGCCTGAAGGAGGGAATATTGCTTTCACACTTCAGATATTGAGACCTGTGTGTTTTTGTTTGTGTGTGTATGTATAGGGAGGGGAGCAGGCGTTTGGATAAACGAAGGAACACTTGAGTAGAAAATAAATTGTAATCTTCATGAAATAGCTGGATGGTAAACTGAGTTTCAAACCCATTCTGGACTACAGCTCCCAGAGTTCCCTGGGGGAGTTTGACTACTGCAGTCCAGAAGGTCTTGTTTACAATCTCTGATAGACAAGGTTGCCTTATGGGGGATAAAAGAACCTGCCATATTTTTTCGTGTATAAGACTATACTTTTGTCTAAAATATTTAGACTAAAAATTGAGGGTCGTCTTATACATGGAAGTAAGCTGAGGAGAAAAAAACAAGCAGGGATCAAAGTGATCCTGCAGGGCTTTGATCCCTGCTTTCCCCTCCATTTGCTAAGCCTTAGCAAAAGGAAAGCGGGGATCAAAGTGCTGCAGGATCGCTTTGATCCCTGCTTTCCTCTCTGCTTGCTAAGTCCCATGGGGTTTAGCAAAAGGAGGAGGGAAGGTTCAAAGAAATCCCGTGGCTGTATAAGGCTCCCATGGGGTTTAGCAAAAGGAGGAGGAAAGGTTCAAAGAAATCCTGTGGCTGTATAAGGGGGAAAGGGATCAAAATGATTGTGCAGTTGTGGAATTGCTTTGATCCCTTTCCTCCTCCTTTTGCTAAGCCATGTGGGGCTTAGCACAAAGGGAGAAAGCAAGGATCAAAGCCATCCTGCAGCACTTTGATCCTTTTTATCCATTATTTGCTAAGCTCCACTTAGATTTCTTAATTTTGGGTTAGAAAGTGGGGGGCGTCTTATACACGGAAAAATACGGTACTTTTTATTGAGTTGGCGCAGCAGCCCATCAAGCTCAGTAGACTTTATCTGGCCTGTCTGCCTCCGAAAGAGGCTGTTACTAAGTTGTTTATCTGAGCACGGCAAGAATTGAATCCTAGGGCTTTCATACCAGAGGTGGACAAATATTCTCCAGATCTTCCTGGACACCCACTGGTCCCAGCCAACATGCCCCGTGGTGAGGGGTTATAAAAGATGTCTGGAGAGCCACAGTTTTGTATCTCAGTTCTACAGTATGCTTTCCTTCAACGAGTTGCAATTTTTTTGCATTAAAATGGCTGTAGCTGTGTTTGGCCAAACTAGCTTCAGCTTGGACTGGAGTTGCTGGTCCTGATGCTTTGAGATTTGGATGGTCTCTCCCTCCCTCCCTCTCTCTCTCTCAGTCTCTCTCGTACTTCATGTAGAAACAGGGCCTAAGTATTAAGGTTTCTCTTGGCACTGGGATGGGCCTGTTGATATCCAGGAGAAAGCTTCTGTCTTTGTAGAATAAAGCTGAAGGAGGAAAAAGTTCTATGCATACCTCACCCTGTTGATCTTGCATTGCTATCGCCATCCTAAAATGAGGTGCAGCCTATTTTCAAAAGAAGAATAGGAAACTTACCCTGGATTTCTGGATGTCTCTTCTGGCCGGTGGTGTAGCCCCATTTCTGTCATTGTTTTCACCTTTCTTTAATTTACATGGCTCCCCAGCCTACTTTCCTTCCTCCTTATGTTTCCTTACAAAGCAGACTTGTCTTCTAGAACCTTCTGTGGGTACATAGCAATGAGAGGACCAGTTCTGCCTACGCTCTTCCTTTTTTTCCTGAATCTGTCTTGGCAGTTGGCAACTTGTGTCCCTCTAGATATGTCTGGACTGCAACTCCTATGAGCCCTCACCGTTGGCTGAGTTGGCCAGCACTGCCGGGAATTGCAGTCCGCCAACATTTAGAGGAGCCCAGATTCTCCATTCCTGGAATACCTAAACCAGTGGTTCCCAACATTGGCTCCTCAGATGTTCTTGGACAACAACTCCCATAAATCCTGGCCAGCGCAGCTAGTGGTGAAGGCATCTGGCAACTACAGTCCAGGAACCGCCTAGGTTACCCAAATTGAAACCAGTGATGTACATGGATGTTTGCAAAGGAGAAGGCAATCCCAGGCTGCCTCAACTATTTCTTTTTCAAGTTTTACTCCTGAATTGTTTTAAAATTAGTGGAGAGACCACCACAGTGCTTCCTGGCAACTGTAGTCTCACTGCCCTTTTGGCTGTAGAGAGGCATATCTCAAAGAACCGCGATTCCCAGGAAGCACTGCAGCAACCTTGGGAGATAGGCCGTGATCCAGGCGAGCAAAATGTAGGTGTCTCTCGGTGTACATCTGTGAGCTGGAGATCCCAGTGTTCTTCCTTGGAAATTCCTGGAGAATTCTGGGAGTTGGGAGTCCAAAACAGTCCAAAATTCTGAGAGTTTTGGTCCAGGAACACCTGGGGATCCAAAGTTGGGAACAACTGGTCGAAAAACCATTCACTTTCTTATGGATCTGGACCCATCAGGTGACTAGAGTTCCTTTAAGGATTGGCCTGCAGGTCATGGCTGCCATATGACGTTGGCATGAGATAGCGTCCGTTCAGCCCTGTGTGTAAGGGTAGCCCATAGATTGCCCTTCTCACATTGAGGATCTTGCATGGCTAGTTGCTCTCCAGAGTGGCAGCGGGTGACCATACGAGAGCTGTTCCAGGCAACTTCCGCTTGGGGGCTACAGGTGGTCTTGAAACTGGACCACTTCATCACTTCTTTGCCATCTTAGCACCCACCTCTTTAGACATGATTTTGGCATCAAATGCTCTGTAGAGGAGGAGGTTGACTTTTTCTGTGCTTAAGAGACGTTCCTCCACATTAAGACTTTTGAGTAGACTTAGGGTGCAAGCCTATATACTCAGTGGGCAAGAAATGTTTGATTTGGTAGATGTTCTGGACTTCCCATTCCCAGAATCCTCAGCCACATCTGGAGGGCCACAGGTTTCTGTTTGATTTGGTAGATGTTCTGGACTTCCCGTTCCCAGAATCCTCAGCCAGCATATAGAGTGCTAAGGAATTGTGGTAGTTCTAGGCCAACCACATCTGGAGGGCCACATCATGGCTTATTCAGTAGGATGTCCTTCTGAATAGACCTCTGCAGAGTTGTGCTATTCAAAGGTGGCTTCAAGGTGAGGTGGATGAAGGTTCCTACAGCTTCCGGGAGTGCCTTTTGCAGGATCTCCTCCTCCTCCTCCTCTTCTTTTTTGCTTGTGGCTGTCCATGAGGCCTTATTTACATATTTCAAGTTGGAAAATTCTAGTCTAGTTTCTTGGATTAGGGGTTAAAATACTTGTTTCTCTGCGGATCCGTGCCTTTTACCAAGCAAAAAGAACCTCCTCTTGTCTGTTCGTAGTGATCCACTGTTCAGATTAATTGCCGACTGGAGCTGTAGGGGAAAACAACTGGAACTTTCTCACTTCGACGAATCCTAATCTTATTGAGTGGTTTGGAATCCTGTGTCGTCAGGAGCATCCAAAGTATGTATTTATGCAAAAATCCCATTGGTCTCACTTTGATCATATTAAACTCCCAAGTTTCATTTTTATTGTATGTAAGGTAGGGAATTAAACCTTACTTAAATCTTGGGGCTGATATCTGGAAGATTTTGGTGCTAAGACAGCTGAGCAGAAATGAGAAACAACCCACTTCTGAAGGCTGAGAGGTCAGATTTGAAATGCGTTCTTGGTTTGTTCTTGCGTATCTGTGTAGAACCTGTTGGAAACATTTGAGTGCTGCTGTCTGTAGGTTGTTGGAGTGTGGTGGTATATTCTCCGAAGTGGTAATGTCTTACAATGGTTTTTTTTGTCATTAAACTTTCTATTGAAATTGTGATTTATTAAAAAAATACCACAGTTATTATATTGTGTATTCCCATTTTATTTCTGTGTGTTCGGTTGGATCGTCCTTCTAAATTGGCCTTCCCAACTCTCAATGCTCTCTCAGTGTTTTGAACTACAGCTCCCAGAATCTTCCGGTTGACTGGAGGATTCTGGGAAGTATAGTCCCAACAGATCAGGATGGCACCAGGTTAGAGAATGCAAGTCTAAATGGGTGTTGGCTTGATTGTAGTCTCTCTGAAACAACATGTTGGGAACAGCCAGCTTTGCTGTTAAATATCTAAGCTGAAATCCAGTTGTCATTCCCACCGAGAGTAGATGCATTGAATTAATGGGACCCCAGTGTTTGAACACTTACACAAGTCCCATCAAATCGGTGGGTCTCGTTTATTTCGAATTAACAGTAAAGTTTTCTGAACATCCAAGACCCCACAGGATTGTTTGAATAGCCGGTTGTCTCTGTGACTCAGGATGGCCAACCAGTGACTCTGGTATATATGTGAACTGCCTCAACCCTGCCTTGATGTTGATCTGCCAAAGTTTTGGCAAATCTTAGATCCAAGGCGAATGAAACAAGTTCCTGCAGTGTAAAAGCTGTGGACCAGGAAGGTCTGAATGTGAGGTTGGTGAGGAATCTTGTTCAGCCTAAGAGATGAATTTCATTTCAGCTGCGGAAAACACCAAATGATGGTATCACTGAAATGAATTACGGTCATATAGAAAAGCAGTTATGGGTTTGGCCCCACAAATTAACAAGATTTGACTTCAAGGTCTCAGGTCCTTCCCCCCCCTTCGTTTAAGTGGTTCCCCCCATTCTACTACCTGCATATTTCAGATGAGTAGGCGAAAAGGGTAGAGAAGTTTGCAGATGACTCGAGAGATGCCTGCATGGCTTAAATGGAACAAATCCATTCAAGGGAGATCAAATCAACTCAAGGGAGATCAAATCAAATATTATTCTCACCTTGCTTGATGAAAATGATGTTTTTCCGGAAAACAAAGTACAGTAATGCATATTCCTGCATCTCTGCAAATATAGGAATATGCATTACTTTGTTTTCTTATTAAGATATATACATCTTGTTTATATATATAGAGATAGATATATTTGCTAGAAAAGCAGTTATGGGTTTGGCCCCACAGATTAACAAGATTTGAGTTCAAGAGATTCAAGCAGATGCCTGCTGGAAATTTCTTGTCCTTTGAAATGTGACCTGCTCCAAAGTGGAATTAATATCCGCATTATGCAACAGATCAAGGAGGCCTTGGGCGAATTATTGCCAGATTTGTTATGGATACGTCACTTGGCATTTTTGACCAAACACACGCATGAAAGGGAGAATGAGATTAGCTAACAGCAAAATCTTGCTCTGTCTAGACATGTAAAGGGTGTCACAGATATTTCCTGCTACAGCTTGAGGCGATATTCAAGGGAGATCAACCTCATAGCGTGCTTGGTAGATTTAATGTGCAAGTCAGAAAGGCCAGAGGGTGGGAGACGGAGTTGCCAACATACTCTCTAGGAGCGAAATACAACCTCTTCGTCTTAATTCTCAGGAATACAAATGAAGCACATGGTTTTCCCAGAGCCCCATAAAGTTATGGCTGGGAAGCCCAGTTTTGAATGGCAAGGATGATACTGCCAGTATTCTGTGCCTCCCCTTTCCTTCCCGTTTTTGTTCTTCCGAATCCCTTGAAGAGAAGCTTAGAATAAGTTGTGGATTTGTCCCAAATGTGTTTTTAAAAGTCACAGATATTTACTGCTACAGCTTGAGGCGATATTCAAGGGAGCTCAACCTCATAGCCTGCTTGGTAGATTTAATGTGCAAGTCAGAAAGGCCAGAGGGTGGGAGACGGAGTTGCCAACATACTCTCTAGGAGCGAAATACAACCTCTTTGTAGTATAGAATTGCCTTCCCCAATTTGGGGAAGTGCTGGGCTTGTAACACCCATCATCTTTAGCCAGCATGGGCCATGGTGGCTGGGGATGATAGGATGATAGAAGCCAACAGTTCAGCAGATTGCTGAGTTGTTAACAGCTATTGTAATATACTCTTTGGTGCCTTGGAATCTTCTCTTCCATCCCTATTTCATTTCCTGGATCTAAAATCTTAGATGATCTTTCAAAACCAATTCTTGGTGCAAAAAAAAAAGTATTGAGAAGCAAAGGTAAAGAATGAATAAGGGCAAGATCTGAAAAAAAATCATCCCCCCCCCCGCCATTGTAATCTTCATTGTTGGATTCGCTCATGTGATTTATTTTTATAAGACTCTCAATTCTTCTACTTATTCTGTGATGTGTTATCTTAATTCTCAGGAATAGAAATGAAGCACATGGTTTTGCCAAAGCCCCATAAAGTCATGGCTGGGAAGCCCAGTTTTGAACGGCAAGGATGATCTTACTGCCAGTATTCTGTGCCTCGCCTTTCCTTCCCATTTTTGTTCTTCCGAATCCCTTGAAGAGAAGCTTAGAATAAGTTGTGGATTTGTCCCAAATGTGTTTTTAAAAAAATCAGCATCAGAGTGAGGGAATTTCCTGTTGTTGAGTATTGACTTATTGCAATGCTGCTGAGGTACATTTCAGCTCAGGGTGTGCAATCCCCATGTTAGAGACAGTTGTGTTGAAGTGCTTCTGCCCAGACCTGACTGCATTTTATTTTTATTATTTATTTTATTAGATTTATACCCTGCCCTTCTAGACAAATAGTCTACTCTGGGTGGCAGAGTATTTTCATTTCATTTCAGAGTAATTGCATTTTCAGTGTGCAATTTCTATGCGCTCATATATGAGAGTTACCCAATGGGAACCAGGGTGTGTGAGGGTTGTGCAACCGATTCAAAGGACAGGGGAAAGGTCACCCTCCAGCCTTTCCTAAACCTGAGTTTAGGAAAGGCTGGAGGTTGAAGCTGAAACTCAGCAAGGATCCTCCCATTTTCCCTCATAAATTGGACTTCCCCTTGTGGGACGTGAGGGAAAGACACAGTCACTGAGTCAGAGAGAACCCCACACAAACACAGAATCCATGCTTCAGTTCCTGAATCACCGCGTGAATCAACAATGCTTATGCCTTCAGGGATCAGGTGAATTGAATCTTCACAAAACTGCAATACCAGAGAGAGACAATGAACTTATTCATGAGGGAAACATGAAGCCTGTGACATTCAACGTAATAATGGAGACTTTTGTGTCAAGGGAATGAATGGCATAACTGGTTGCTTAAAAAGTTCAAACCAGAATATCTTCTTTCCTTGTCCAGAAGCAAATCCCCTTTCCTCCATTTTAGGGGAACTCTCCAACTGGAATGGGTTTTCCCAACAGTGTTTTTCAACAATGGTCTAGATTAGTGGTTCCCAATCCAGATATTCTTGGCCTAAAACTCCCAGAAGCCTTCACTACTAGCTGTGCTGGCCAGGATTTCTGAGAGTTGTGGTCCAAGAACATCTGGGTTACCCAAGGTTAGGAACCACTGATCTAGACGAGGCATGTTTAGCTTTGAGAAAAGACAAAGGGAGATATGATAGCATTCTTCAAATACTTGAAAGGTAGTCATACAGAGGAGGGGCAGGATCTGTTTTCAATCATCCCAGAGTACAGGGCATGTAATAATGGGCTCAAGCTATAGGAAGTCAGATTTAGGCTGTATATCAGGAAAAACCCCTGAACTGTTGAAACAGTACGACAATGGAACCATTTACCCTGGGAGGTGGTGAGCACTCCATTGCTGGAGACATTCAAGAGAAAATTGGAAACCAGCTGCCCAGAGCACTCCATTGCTGGAGACATTCAAGAGCAAATTGGAAACCAGCTGCCCGATTTGCTTTGATTTGGATTCGTGCATTGAGCAGATGTTGGACTCGATGGCCTTATGAACGCCTCCCAACTCAATTACTCTATGATTATGGAAGCTGTTTGTTATCAATTATTTCATGGGGCAAACAAGGGAGAAAACCAGATGAAAATTGTCAAAGAAGTGCTCTTGTTTCATTGCTTACCCCCTTATGGTGTCCTTACAAATATACAAGCCAGGTGTAGTGGTAGAAACATCACTACTAAAGCAGGCAACAAAACTAGTTACCCTGTCACTTCCAGCTGACGAGAGTTGCAATAACTCACTCTGAGACGTTAGCAAGAGAAAGAATAAAAATATTTCATTTACTTGCAGCTGAAGCAATCAAACAGCCAACTGGAAACAAACATGACTGCTTGCAGCAACAGGCCTCAACAGACTCACTGCTTCCAACAGACAATGGGGGAGGGGGGGGAGAAACCTGAGCAGAGAGGGGGAAAAAGCCTATGGACCTTTCCAGCTTCCCCCTAACCTGCTAGATGGTCTTTTTCTTTGAGGTTCTCTGTTTTTCATCTGCAGATCTCCCTTCTGGAGGGAACTAAAGCGTGCATGTCTGCTCTTCTTAAGATGGAACGATCACATCATTTCTCTTCCAGACCTCTAGAGAGAAATTCAGGATTCTCTGTTCCGAGACAACCTCCAAACCCTTCTCTGTGCAGTTCCCTTACAACTAGTTTGGTGGTATCAAACCTCTTGGAGCACCTTCTGGAGGTTTGGGTGGTGGCAGATACTTCATTTCTGAATCATCCTGGATGAGACATCCTTATGCTTATCTCGAAGAAAGAGGCTGGCAGAAGGGAGGGAAGGCGGTTCCGTGGGGTGGGGGGAAAGAGAAAGGTGTCAGGGAGAGAGAGCATACAAGAGGCTCAGATTGCAGGGGTGTGCCAGTTAGACTTCCGAACCTTTCTTAAACTACCTGGTATCGTAAGAATTCCTCTGAGGCTGTGTTGCAACTTGTTCTGGCTGGGCAAGGATAAGGGAAGTCTGCAGCGGTGAGGACTCGGAGAGACAGAAAACGGAGGAGCACTACGGAATAACTGAGCCGAACGAGAAAAAAACAGAAGTCCTGCAAACAGAATCAATGGGCGTAGCTTTTAAAAGATAACCAGGTGAAGAGGGGGAGTGGAAGAAGAAGAAAGGGGAGTGATGAAGGTAGGAGAAGGAATTATTCAGGGAATGAATTATTTTCGCCTACTGGGGCCCAAAAATATAGGAAAAAGGAAGGATTAAAAGTTGGAGCAGAATAGGTACCTAGGAAAGGAGGATATGAAAAGGTTGCAGAAGAAAAAGGACTCTGGATGTAGTGGGAAGAAACAACTGTGGAGTCGGAGAAGGTGAAGAAGAAATAAATAGACAGGGTAGGGCTGTGGGAAGGTGTGGAGGCTCTTTGTTAGCCAACTTCCCCGTTTCTCCAACATGGCGGCCCCGACAACAGTAGAACATTTCGCGGAAGATCTGCGTTGCTCCATTTGCCTGGAGCTGTTTTTGAATCCCGTCATGCTGGAATGTGGACATAACTATTGCCAAGCCTGCATTGCCCGATATTGGGCGGAGACCCCCTCCCATGGCAGAGAGCACGTGCCGCCCCCCACCTGCCCGGAGTGTCGGCGTGAGATCCCAGGGGGCAAGTTCACGGCTAATCGGGTGCTGGGCCAGCTGGCGCAGAAGGCCATGGAGTCTCTCTCTGCTCATGCCAGCGATGAGGATGCCGAGCCTGGGGAGAATGGCGGCGACGAGGAGATACAAGGAGAGAAGCTATTTTGCGCTGAGGATGGCTGCCTTGTGAGGGCTTTGCATCTAGACCACTGGGGACACCAGTGCCTTCCTCTGGAGGAAGCGGTGGAGTGTTACAAGGTCAGTAGGGGGCGCTGTAGTCCTGTGAATTGAGTGACTTGTTGCCCACTTGAGGATGTGGCACCAATACTGTAATGCTAGACATTGAGGGTCACTCAGTGAATATTGTAGTCTAGGCTGGGGAAATCTTCATCTCTTCTCCCATGGACCCTGGAGGACCACACCTCCTTCTGCTTCCCACCCACCCACAATATTTTTCTTTTAAAACGTTTTTTGAATAGAAAACCCTGCTCACACCCTCTCCCGCTTTCCCGCTCTCTCTCTCTAGAGGATATGAGGGGATTTAGAGAGAGAGGGTGAGGGGGCTTATATATGTTTCCAAAAGAAGGACATTTATGGGTGGGAGTGAGGTTGTGAGAGGGCATATAAAGGAAGGAAGGACGGAATTGTGATTCCTCCTAAACATGACAAATTTGTCTTTCATATACCTTAAATCAGTGGTACCCAATCTTGGGCCTCCAGATATTCTTGGACTACAACTCCCAGAAGCCTTCACCACCACCTCTGCTGGCCAGGATTTCTGGGACTTGAA